TCGGAGATAATGGATACAGGTACACCATGAAGGATAATTATCTCTCGAATGTAGATTCGTGTGACTCTCTCCATCCTGAAGTTTTCTTTGATTGGTAGGAAGTGGGCGGATTTTGTCAACCGATCGACAATTACCCAGATGGCGTCGTGCCCACTCGGAGATCTGGGTAGCTTAGTGATAAAATCCATTGTTATCCTTTCCCACTTCCACTCAGGTATTTCTGGTTGCTGAAGTAAACCTGAGGGTTTTTGATTCTCCACCTTAACCTTGGCACAAGTCAAGCACTTACCCACGAAGGTTGCAATTTCCGCTTTCATGTTTGGCCACCAATAGAGCTGTTTGAGATCCAGATACATCTTATCTGAACCTGGGTGAACGGAGTATTTCGTCTTGTGAGCCTCATTCATGATAACCTCTCTGTACCCGCCGAACTTTGGGGTCCAGATCCGGTTCATGAAATAGTACACTCCGTCTCCCTTGATCTCTAAGTTCTTATCCATTCCACGCAATGCTTTATCCGCCACTTTCTCTAGTTTCAAGGCTTCCAGTTGAGCCTCTCTGATTTGCGCGGATAGATGGGAATGAATGGTCATTGTTAATGCCTTTACCTTACGCCCTGAATACTCCTTTCGGCTGAGGGCATCCGCTACCACATTGGCCTTGCTGGGATGGTAGCGAATTTCGCACTCGTAGTCACTGAGTAGCTCTACCCATCGCTGTTGTCTCATGTTTAGCTCCTTCTGATCAAAGATATGCTGCAAGCTCTTATGGTCGGTGAAGATAGGGCACTTGGTTCCATAGAGATAGTGCCTCCAGATCTTTAACGCGAAGACCACTGCTCCCAAATCTAGATCGTGAGTTGTGTAATTTACCTCGTGTGTTTTCAACTGCCTCGAGGCATAGGCGATAACCTTTCCTCGTTGCATGAGCACACAGCCTAGGCCCTGATGGGATGCATCACAGTAGATAATGAAGTCTTCCGTCCCTTCGGTCAGGGACAAGATAGGTGCGCTGCATGAGGCCTGTTTCAATGTTTGAAACGCAGTGTCTTGCTCGACTCCCCAACTAAAGGTTACACCTTTCTGTGTTAGGGTAGTTAAAGGCTTAGCGATTCTGGAGAAGTTCTGGATGAACCTGCGATAATAGCCAGCGAGACCCAAGAATTGCCGGATTTCTGTGGGTATGTCTTTGGTGCCGACCAATTCTCGATCGCTTTGATTTTGGAAGGGTCCAATGTATGCCTTTCCGCACTAACCACGTGACCGAGGAAAGTTACCTGCCCTGACCAAAACTCAACACTTTGGAATTTTGCATATAGTTTCTCCGCCCTTAGTGGTTTTCGAGTACCTGCCTAAGTGTTGTTTATAATCATCTTCGCTCCGCGAATAAAGAAGTATGTCGTCAATGAAAACGATCACGAACTTGTCTAGGAAAGGGCGACACACCCTATTCGTCAGGTCCATGAATACTGCCGGTGCGTTGGTTAGACCAAAGGGCATTACTACAAACTCGTAGTGTCCATAGCGAGTTTGGAATGTTGTCTTGGGCACATCATTCTCGTGAACCCGGAACTGATGATACCCTGATCTTAGGTCTATCTTCGAAAAGTAACTAGCTCCCTGAAGTTGATCGAAGAGGTCGTCGATTCTGGGTAGGGGATAACGGTTCTTGATGGTAAGCTTCTTCAGTTCACGGTTCTTGATGATTTTCGAGGATATATTTCGAGTTTCGTGCGGTTTTTGGTTCCGACTTGCATATATAAGTTTAATTATATAATACCAGATGATTTTCTAAATCAAAGGTTCGACGGAAGATTAATAAAATTCAAATTTTATTAACGAAAATTGCATAATGGAAACGAAAAAGTTTCGGGTTGTCACAAATTCCAACCTCACTTGCATTGTTCTTTTGTGATTTCGAGGCTTTAGAGTCACACAGACTTAGCCAACGATATTACTAAAAACAATTTCATGCTAACGAAGTTTCAAATTCAAGGTACACTCCTTGAACACATTCCTTGCATTAAAGTTTCTAACTCACATGTAGATTTTAATAATCAACTCCCATTATGGAAACATTTCCATATTTCCATATAACCATCAACTTTGATTAAGAATTATCCTAATCTAAAACATGTCACTATGGTCCTTCTGACCAATTCTATACTTCTAACTGTCCACAAGCAACCGATCATCAGGTAAACCTCAGAACATTCTTAACATTTGTTTAACAACTTTAG